TGAGAGACTTGGCAATGATCTTCTGCAGTTCGGCAACAGTTGTCTCCAGGTCAATGGAAATCGTGCAACGGAGGCCGGTGAGCCCCACAATTCGCAAAGATCGCGGGCCAGTCCTGCAGGTGTCAAGTTCATATGGACACGGACGATTCCCATGAGCTTCTGCTTCGTCTACCAAAGCGAACGACATCGCTCAACAACACGAGAGACTAATTGTTCGGCTGGCAGGGGGCAGAACAGAAGGCGTTGTGCTTGATCACCGCACACAGCCCGAAGCGCCTTCACCTTCACTTCTGGCCCCCGCTGCAAAATCTGCAGCAGAATCACACCGGATTTCGCGCAAATCACACATAAATAAATATATATATATATATATACATTATATATATATACACATACAAATCCGCAATGGAGAACGAGACCTGACCTGGTACTCCAAACTCCGAACTCTAGGCCCTGTGACGCGGGCTAGGGCAGCCCGAAAGTCCCAGCCCTTAACAAAGGAATTACCCAGAGACTCCAATATCCCTTGATTAAGGAATATACCTTAAATTATAGTAGGATCCTTAATATGACTTAAGGTATATTCCCTAATAAAGGGATATTGGAGTCTCTGGGTACCTTGGTCGGGAGATGGTGCCTGAAAGCCTGAATTTCACCCCCGGAACCTCGACCCTGCGCGAGTCTTGACCCCTATACACTTCGGGTTCCTTTGCTCCCACTCCAAACGGGATTGAGGATTTCTGCATTCTACCCATCACAAGTCTCAACATCCGAAGTAAAGGCTGGACCTGGAAGCCAACAGATGCTCTGTTATAGTTGCTGCTATTGAGCTGCTTAAACTTTAGGACTTTAGGCCTTCAGCCTCAAGCCGTAGACCAACAAAGTGGGTTTTAGTTCAAAGGGCCCCTTCGAACTTTCTCTCAATAGGAAGTACCCCTAAGAAGCCCTACGATTATCCCAACGTTAACCCAAGGAGCCACCTACTATGTAGTAGTTATAAGTTATAAGCATCAAACCACCAACCTCTTGTAAGAACCAGTACAGTATCCCGGCGTAGTAAAACACGCATGTAAAGGCCTTATCATCCCCACAGAACTATGCCTTCCCTAGGTCGTTCGGCATCCAGGGTGATGAAAGGACGCCCCGAGTCTCCTGAAACGCGAACCAAGAATGACTTAGAGTTGCTGTGTAATGGAGTTGTCGGCAGATCCTGAGATGTTGGTCTATGGCCTACCTATAGTCTCCATTGTAGTTCCTTTTTTGGTTTAACCAAATATATAATTGGGATATCCTATAAGGTAACCCCAAGAAGGAACTCCAATGGAGACTATAGGTAGGGTTCACGGCTATGTGGCATGTAAGAAGGCTACAGAGGTTTATTCCGGTGCATGGCTAGTTATGAGCGAAGGAGGTGTCGGGCGGAGGGATTAGGCGTGGATGCTCAAACATAAGGTTCTTGAGCATTGGCAGTTACGTTGCCTCGAAGTTTCAGTTCTCGTGGCCGAACTCTAAACTCCTAGCGCTTTGCGCATCCAAGCTCCAAATGACTAAATCCTGAAATCCTCACATACTACATCTGTAACCGGAAGGGCAGACACTCTAAAAACACACCATTAAACAGCGCAATTCCAACTCAAAAACTCGAAGCTCCGAACCCGAAGCTCGAAATGCCGGCGATGCTGCAAACCCTGAAACCCCAAGGCGTGGAACCTCCCAAAACCTCTTTCCCTGTATGCCTCGGTCTTTCAGAGCGGCATCTGCCAAAGCAAGCGCAGCCTTTTTACTTACAGGGTCTTTTCCGGAAGGCGGGCAGGGGCTTAGGCTTTTACCAAACCTTTTGGGCTTTGTGGGGGCTTAGGGCCACTACATATATTGTGATTTTGGGAATTATCGCTGCATAGTCGACGGTATATAGGGGGGGAACCCTACAGGATGGTCAAAAGGTTTAGGGTTTCTGGTTGAGTGGTAAGCAGGCTTAGCGGCCAGCTCGTTTTGGAAACTTCCCTTCCATTGAAGGTTGCAGGTCTTCGGGCTTAGGACTTCGGTTTTGATGCGCTAGGCTCTAAGCTGAGGCTTGAGATGTAGGCATCCGGATTAAGAGGTGCCGGCTAAGTCATTTTCGGCATTGATGAAGCTTCTGCAACAGCTCCGCACATCTACACAAAACCATACACCCGCAGCGCTAAACTCCCTGAAGCCTATAGAGCCTAAGAACTGCCCCCCCGAATCTTCTCCCCAGCCAAACCTCCCGTTGTCAACACGCATCCAAAGCCGGACCCTTAGCCTTCACCCTCAAAGGCACAGCTTGCAGGAAGAGTTTAGGATTCAGGGTTGCCTGAATAATTGTGCAACTAGAGTATATGAAGACTCCTACACCAGTCACATCCGCGAACTGTCCGCACCACTGACAAATCAGAACTCTGAGCAAACCCGCTGTTGCAATCCTCTCTGGTGTCGTGCCTCTGGGTGACGTCCATCGAGGTGGATCAGCTTGGTATCCCTGCGAGCGACCCCCTAGCACCGAGTTGCTCTTAGGGTCACTTCAGCTGTCTGGCGCTTAGTAGGGAATGGGGGAATGGATCCCTATAGTAGTACCTATATCGTCCCCAATACCAGTCCCCATAACCCATTCCCCCATTCCCTATCAGAACCAGACAGTCAGGCATCGACCTCATTCCTGATTCGCTTGAGGGACCCGGCCTGCGTGAGGGGAAGCTTTGATAAAGGGGGGCACAACACAGAACACAAGGGAACATTCGGGAAACCCAAAATAGACAATAAGAGTGATGATGATCTGTATTACTATCGTTAATTGCCCGAGGCCCCCACCGTTTTCAACTCAGAACTCAAAGATGCGTCTCGTCCAAAACGCTCTCGAAGCTCCCTAAGCTCCTTTTGGAGCTGGAAGGCATTGGGTAAAAATCTGAGGGTAGAAGAGATGGACGATGAAGCCCTGGTGGTGTGCAGCTCCAAAACCTCCCTATACATTTTCAATCGAAAATTCGAAACCCTGCGCTTAAGCCGTGCAGAATGTTGCAGATGCATCTCGCGCCCATCAGATTCCTCTGCAATCTGAGGTATCGCAAAAGTGGGTGAAGACTCAACACGGACGTCCACAAGACACATCTTTAACTAACAGCCTTTGCATGATGCACCCTTCTTTGAGTAGTTTAGCAGGTCGTAACCACTCCGAGCCCGCTGACCGATTGGCGCCCAGGTGCTTTGACGCTCAGGTGCCTAATTCTTCGAGCCGCATGGAAGCGTGGACAGAATACCGATGTTCACCACAAGGCTAGGCAAAGAGCAGTGACGTGGAAACACTTCCTGCAAGGCCTTAAAATTCAGCGGTGTGGCAAGCAAGCCTCATGACCTGTGAGCACGCTTGTGCCAGCAGGCCAACTTCTCTGGACAGGGCGCGCGCCCGGCAGTGGTGGCCAACAGGACACGGTATCAACGGCGAGGACACTGCCTTGTCCAATCTAGGTGCCATGGAAAAAACTGTGAGACGAGCACTCTGCGCCTTGCCGCCGCAGCCATCCACACTGTCCTCCTTTAGAGGTCCAAGGTGTGTGATGCTGAAGCCTTTTGTGGCGATATCACTTTCTGCAAAATGAGACGGGCGGAAACGGGGCGAGGCCCCACTGATGCTTGCGTAACTGCAGTCTGGAGCTATTAAGATGCAGGCTTCAAGTGCTTCAATGTCGCATCTCTGGGATGCAGGTAGATACTCGCAGCTTCTCCGCAGACGGCTACACACCAAAAGCATATTCAAGCTCAACTTCGAAACTGCCCCGAAACTGCACAAACCCCTGCATCCGACTTGGGTCGACGGAGGCATGTCGCCTCATGAAACCTCAAATTCTTGCTGTAAATACTAAATAAGTAATGGTACCGAAATGTGGAGTTTTTGAAATAGTAAAGAAGTAATGGTCCCGAAATATAGAGTTTTAACCACTAAACCGGCGCACAGTGCTCTTGCAGAAAAACGACTCCGTGCTTACTATGGGCGTGCCAAGCACAGGGCCCTCGGAGTATTCAGCCAAGCACCGAGCCCTTCGGGGTATTCAGCAGTGGAATTCTCGAGAATGGGGCTCTCACAAGATAAACGTGGTCTGCTTACTAGAATAGGTCGGGCTCGCTCGAACACGGCTGGAGAGCCGTTACAGTAGGATTTCTGTTGCTAGCCATTCAAGCGCCTATGTGGTGCTGGTCTCATGCGGGTCGACACAACCCTGACAAAGCGGCGGCGGAAGTCACACAAAACGTAAGCACACAGAGACGGAGGGAGAGAGCTACAGAGATAGAGAGAGAGAGAGAGCCATAGAAATCGCATGAACCAATTATTGGTCTACGTAGAAAAATATGTAATGTTATGCGCATATACATATATGTATGTGTCTGTAGAAACATAAAAGATTACCCCAGCTGTATATCAGTGTATCTATCTGTAACCTGTAACTATTATGCATACAGTTCTGCAGATATATACAGCTGTGATTGCGGAGGAACTCGCTCAATGCAATAAATTCATCTAGGCTGGCATAGACTAGGCACTTTGATGCGCAAAATCACTTGTCAGCGCTGAGCCACGTTCTGCATCTGTAGTATCTTCTTGTGATGGTTGGCGCTTGATTCTTAACACGGGGGTTACAGTCTTGGGCTCCAAGATGCAAGGCACATCTGCCATGCCAAGGTCAGCGTCTCAAAATCTGGTTAGCTTGGCCACGGTGTCTTCCTGGCTCCATCGGCTTAGTCTAGGGGCCTTAATAAATTTGAATAGGTTTTTTGGGCCCATGATACTATGATTAACGACCTCCCACCCCCAAAACAAACCCTAGTATTGGTAATCATTTAGGCCCCCTTGCGACATGCTGAACCTTAGCGCTGTTGGAGTGGTCTGTTCCTCGATGCGGGCGGGGCCTGAGGTTCAAATACGATTTTTGCAACTTAATGAATTTGGCAAGACCACCTACATAAAGCCTTCATGTCCTGAAGAATGCAAAACAGGTGAGCACCGTTGCCTTTCTTGGTTTGGTTTGCAGGAGGATGGAGCATCTACTTTTGCGAAGGGCTTTACAATGATGACCGCAAACAGTTATCACACAAACTGAACTAGTTTTCAGAAGACAAATAGCACACAGCACCAAACCCATCTGCACCCTACTGTACACACCCAAACCCAACCCTAAACCCTTTTGCACAGACTTGTATATGCCCGCCCTAAACCCTAAACCCTATAAGCCCTAAAGCCTGAACCAAAACCCAAAACCCTAAACCCTCAACCCAAAACCCTAAACCCTATAAGCCCCGAACCAAAACCCCAACAAAGAAACCCCAAAGCTGCCAAAAGGTGCCTCGTGGTCAACCTTTGAGGGCTGGAACGCCTCCGGCTCCTGGGCACTACTACGATACTTGGAGGGTCGGGGGACTTAGTAAGTAGGTAGTAAGTAGACTTATAAGTACCCGAAAAGGGACCCTAATTGGGGTTATGGTACTTATAAGTCCCTAAAATAACCAGTTACTAAGTCCCCCGACCCATCAAGTACGGGCTTCAATAACGATGCGGAGCTTATGAATTAGGCAGCCTGCCGACGAGCAGGTTTACCCGGGGGGTGTGCGAAACCTTCGCTGGCTCGTTTTTGGAGCTTGGCATGAGCTTAAACTTTTAACAAGGGCTCGCCACAAGTGACCTCCACTTGCCGAATGCTGATCTTCGCTGCCACTGCCACGCCGCGTTCGCTTGTGCGACCACTCCAACGATCAACACATATGATAGATCGCGGATCCTCCGAGCTTCGCAGCCGCATGTTCAACCCTTACCCCCCTCTCAAGCATCATGAAAAAAACCCTACCATGAATCTAGCCCCAAGCTTTTGGATCCAGGTCTAGTTCGACTGCCGAGCTGAAACCCCAAACCCCCAAATCCGAAACCTGAACCTGGATACGCGACAAAAAAAACCCAAACCCTATAGGCCTTATTCTGGCACCTATACAGAGCCCAAAGACGCAAGCACCCCCGAAATGTAACCTGAGGCTGCAACGATGGCCATCTTTGCTTGGATGGTTCCCAGCTCCTTCCTGCGCTTGCTTGGGCTTAACCTCGTAGAGGGCTTGGAGTACGTTACAAGGGGAACACTATGAATGTGCACACACAAGGTTCTAAGTCTAGGCGGTTGTAGTGTTTAGGGCTTGACGTGCTTAGGCTCTTAGGGCTGCGTAAGGTTTGTAGAGGGTTGGGGTTCTAGAGTTCGGGGTGTGAGGTTTTCGGGAGCTGTTCGTGGATTCAGAGTTGACATGGTCTAAATTCACGCTTGGCTTCAGATGGCGATGTAAACCCTTCGGAAGAAATCCTCCTTCCGCCCTCTAAGGGGTGAGCTCCTCCTAAACCCTCTTCCCTTAACCCAAATATATTCAAGGCGTAGGTACTTGATGGAGTGCTGCATTAGTTAAGGTCTGCATTGTGATTTCTGCTTGGCGGCCGAAGGTCCAGAGGTGCAGGTCTTCGGGTTCATACGGGTTTCCGATAGGGAATACTGCGGCATGAATGTACCAAGGAGCCTTCAACAATGACCTTGGTGATTCTTCAGACCCCTGCATTAGCCACGTAGGGCTCGAGATGGAATTCAGCTCTTCGAGCTTGGTGAATCCCGAACCCGGCATTGTGAGCTTTGCCACCTTTTTTGGGGCTTCAAACTTAAACTCTCTAACCTTCCAACCAACAAATGTCTTCGAAATCGACACTATTCTTGAGTGGTTGCTGGCCTCGTGAGTCTTTCACTCTGCTAGATGTCTTTGTTGTGGTGTTCAGCGAGCTAGGCGTAACATAGGGGCCTTAACAATGAGACTAGGGTTTCGGGGGCCACTATACTATAGTTATAATAAGCAACCCCTAACATAGTATGGGTAATCATTATTAAGGCCCCTATGATACTATGATATGCTCAGTCCAGAATGAGGCTTTCAAGTCGAGGCTGGGCCTCTTCCTATGCGTTTCAGTGTACACTTGCACCAGGTGGCCTAGCCCTGCCCCAACCCTTTTACCTATACTCTCCATTGTAGTTCCTTTCTTTGGTTAACCAAAATCTCTATTATAGGGTCCTAACCAAAAAACTGGTTAACCAAAAAGGAACTACAATGGAGACAATAGGTAGGCTCCAGGTGCACGGCCAAAGTCCACCCCTCACCCGGCCTGATGTGGTCCAAAGCTTGAAACAATCGCATCACTTCGATGCACCTGGCAGTCTCATGGACGTCTGGTTTCCGAAAACTCCTACGCTCCCAGGATCTCCCAGGTAGACAGGGGCCCTGCTTCTGAGCAGCATCAACCCAAGACTCACACGCAAAGCTTGGGATCGAGGCTTCTACCAGCCATACCTTGTACAAGCTTGAATCCTACCGACGAAGCAGATCGACAAATTTGCGTAGATCCCCTCTTGGGCCCAAGAGCTACCATAAGGTGCTATAGAATTCTATGTTGTAATGAACAACTAGAGTACGCGA